CTGTTCAGCAGAGCGTGGGCCGTCCGCAGAGGACCTCAGCCCCCATGGTGCCATCTGCGATCCTGCCCCGTGCTTCGCCCAGACCTCAAGTTCCTCACTCCCGCTCCACGCCCAGCGCTCCTTGAAACTGGCACTCAGCACAGTGAAGCTGGGAAGACCAGGTAAACACAGCTGCGGGAATGAGAAACTGTTACCCAAGAATGTGCCTGCGATGAGGACATGGCCACAGATGACAGTGTCGGAAGGACATGTGTCACAGATGTCAGCAGAGGCCACTCTGCACAGTGCTGAGCTGGGCACAAGAACAGAAGGACCGGTGCAGTGAGCCTGTCCCCAGCGGCGGTCCCATTTACGATTTGCCCCGCAACGAAGAACACGCAGGAGCTCAGGCGGCAACAGAGCAGCCCGGCCAGCTGAGGGGGTGCAGGGCAGGCGCCCCAGGAGAGTCCAGGTCCTGCCGGGCGCCCCAGTAAATCTCTGGGACACGGCCAATGCCCCTGCCAGCCAGCCTGGGAGTGCCTGGGCACTGAGTCACAACACTGGGGCCACAGCTGTGGCATTGTGAACTGACGCTAACGCAGGGTCACCGGGCGAAGGCAGCTCTGAGGGCGCGCGCGGCATTTCCACGCGATCTGAAAGCACACCTCTGGCTGAGGCAGGCGAGAGAGACCGCAGACGCCACACTCGCTTCGCCATCGATCGTCGACAGGGTCTGCTACGCGTGCTGGCAGGGCGGCGCCCGAGGGCGGCGGTGCTCAGCAGCGGCAGTGACCCTGAACTTGCTGCCACTGCCACGCCTCACACAGGCCAGTGGCCACCCAGGGAGGCCGAGCAACCTGCCCGGGGCAAGTGGGCACTGGGGCTGCGGGACACGTGCTGTCACCGCTGCTATGAGCGGCGAGCCTGGGCGAGGACGAGACTTGGCGCTGGGCGGGGCAGGAGGGACGAGCCCACGAGTGCGTTCCGGGAAGTGCCTTTCCGTGTGCGTGTCGTCCGTGGCTTCGGAACGGGCCGCTGTCTGTGGAGCAGCTGGAGGAGGTGGCAGAGGATCAGCCATCAAGTCTGCACAGCACGTGAACCTGCTGTTTCTAGGGAAACAACGGATCCTGTTTGTGGCCAATCATCAAATCTGAGTTTTCCGGCAAAAATCAGAAGCGCGGAACACTCGTGCCTGCCACGGTGGCCTTGCAGCTCTCTGCGCTCAAAGGCCTTCGGACGAGGGGCAGTCAATTCTATCCGGAGTGTCCTGGGGCCGAAGACTCGCCACCCAGTGAGCCAGGGGGTCGGACGTGCAGCATGCGGTCAGCTCCACGCCCAGGTTCAGACTCCACTGCAGCCGGCGGTTAAAGAGCGCTCGGCCCTGGTGAACCTTCAGAACATCCCCGATCAACCGGAGGCTTCTGAAACGTCCCTCCCTCTCCCAGATATGCTTCTGTGAGGCTGTGACTCCAGCTGCCGCAGCCGAGCGGCCCAGGACAACAGGCTGAGGGCGGAGCGGGCACGAGAAGCTGGGTGTTCTCTTCTGAGCCCCGCCTGAAGCCTGCAGGAATGTAAACACCACCTTCTTTTCTTAATAAATATGTTGTTCCGAAAAAGTTACTTTTTATTTAAAATTTGCTATTTACGTGATAGGGTTGTTATTTTTAAAGTAACAATAAATATTTTTAAATTTGTCTTTTAAATAGAATGAAACCTACATAAGCAAAGCTCTCTGGGGACCTTGGTGTTTAAGTTTCAAGAGCCCAAAGTCCCAAACTGTTGAGAACCTCCTGCTCTGAGACGGGCTTTATCCTAATGTAGCTCTGCGAACCCTGCACAATGCAGAGATCACAGGGGGGGCCTGGAAGGGCGACGTGATAAATTTACAAACCTCGGATCCCGCTTTGAACACCCTCAACCAGAAAAAGGTTTTTGAGATAAATGGTAAATTTTTCTATGGACTGGATCACTGTGAAGTCACTTCTAGGCTCAAATTTTTCACGCCACATCAATGGTGTTCAGACCACATACTTATGTGGCAGCAAGCTTACGGTGACAGAACCTCTGGGAAGCTGTGCCTCCCCACCCGCCCACTCCAGCCACGAGGGGCGTGTCCTCGCCAGCCTTCCAGTGCGTGGGTCCCTCCTTCACGCTTACACCAAGGGTAAGATCATCGGTGGTCCCGGGTCCCGGGGGGCACTTAGGCTGTACCCCGTCTCCTGGGGTTGGGTAAATGTCAGCTTTTGAGCACATGAATTTCTCAGCCCCGAGGCTTCTTGCCTCTCACACCATCTGAAAAATTTGCTTTAAAAGATTTCATCTAGTTTGGGTTTGTCAGGCAGCGATTCACTTGTCTCCCTGGGAGGGACGAGGGCAGGTCCCGTCTGCTGGGCCCCGAGACCCACACTGGACACCTCTGTGGGCATAGAAGGGAAACGAATCACCACCCAGACACCGTGTGCTGCACTCGAAGTTCCTGAGTTTTCTCTGAACCACAAAAGGTGTCCCTGTAAATCGCTAATTCGCTCCAATGAGCACAGTTCACATCCACTTCCGCTGGCCGTGGGAGCAGCGCCCCCGACTTGGCAGGGAGGGCGCGTACGAAGGCCGCAGGCCTGGGCATGGCCGCCGTCCTCACTGCTCTGTGCGCCGGGTTTGCACGGCAGGACACACGCCAAACCCGGCTCACGCCCTCGGAGACCCAGACTCTCAGTGTGACGTGGGAGGGACGTGTTTCAAGAGACGCGTGACACAGAGCCAGGCCCCAAAGGCAAGGCCGGGTGACATGGGCCCCCGCCACGCGCCAGCTCCCTTTCTCACAGCGAGCGCTCTGCTCCGGGGCTCAGGCAGTCGCGTCAGGAGTGGCAGCGATGCAGGAGGACGTCCGAGCCCCTGAAACGACTCTGCAAAACCGTGTGTGTGTAAACTTTCCTGGTGAGAAAGGCTATCGACTGCAGCGCCACAGGAAAGCCATCGCACTCACAGTCGCACGGAGCAGGCCACTACTGCTTCAAAACGTAGCTTTACCACTAAGCGAGCACCCCACTCTGGTCCGGTGAAGCGCCATCTAACGAAATGTAAGCGATGAGGAGAAGCCGCGGACTGCTGGTTAACGGGCGCTTCTGTGCCAGACAAGGGAGGAGAGGCCAGTCTCTCTGGGGAGCGTGGTCACCTCCCAACCAGCAGGGCGCGGAGGCCGGTCAGACCCACCCCGGCCTGCCCGGTCTCCACAAGCTGTGAGTCCCCTGCACCCACCCGCTCACCCATCCGTGCTCCCTGTGGAGGTGGCCCGAGACCCAGAGGGACACCGTCTGTCCCCTTCATTGGGACAGCGAGATGCCTGCAGGGTGGGGACGGCACCCTGAACCCGTGCTGGGCGGTCGAGCCTGTCTACAGGGACAGCAGTTAGCGGCCGACGACGGAGGCCACTCCTCTGCTTGCTGTCACTGCACACGGCTGTCCTCACCACACCTGCCCCCAGGCCTCGAGCTCCGCAGAGTTTCCAGGCCACGCCGCCGCGTGCCATGCACTCGTGCTCTCGAGCCCGGCAGCCTGGGGGAGCCGCAGGGAGCTGCTCCCGGGGTGCCGGCGCAGGGCAGAGGGCGCTCTCACCAGCGTGCCCAGGAAGGTGCTGACGGTGCGGGCGGCCTGGCACAGCGCGCCGTACTCCTCGAGCAGCAGGGAGATGAAGCGGTGCGCCTGCGGGGGGCCCTGCAGGGACGCGGGCGCCTTCACCTTGGACGCGGCCGACAGCTGCCGCAGGAGCCGGACCTTCATCTCCAGCACGTACTCTCTGGCTTGCTGCTCCAGCCGCTGGTACAGCTGGTAGGGGTCCCTCTCGCAGAGCCTGCACAGAAAAGAGAGTGTCACCACTCCCCCGGGGTCCCCCACAGGTCCCCTCGAGGGGGCCGTTTTATATCTGTGAGCAACTTTCTCGAAGCCTTTCCACAGGAGCCCACCTGCAACGATGACCACCACACCACCTTCTCACGACTCGTGAGAGGTACAATCAACCACCCCATTCAACAGACGGGGACCGGGCAGCCTGTCTGGAGCTTCCCCAGGTCCCCCGTTAACGGAGAGAAAACCCGACACTTACTGCCAGCTTACTCTGCGCGGGCTCTGTCTCCCACACGTACCAACTCAGCCACCCCGCCTGGCGGGCCCCATCTCCCAGTACTGAGCACTGAGGCCCGCACAGGCTGGGTAAGTTGTTGGAACTCACACAGCCAGCAGGTGGCAGAGAGGACACACCAGCGCCTCAGCAGCTGGCTTCAGATGCGCCTCCTCAAGCACTGGACTATTGAAAATACAGGAGACTGAAGACAGTTATTTTTGAATGCCGATGTGTTAACTAACAGGCGAAAAAAACGACCCCAACAGAGGGTCCTGGGGCTGGAGGGCTGGGCAGGCTGCTCCTCCCTTCTTTCCAGAAGTCAGTACACAACCCAAGAGGGCTTATTTTTATGATCAGAGGAAACTTAGAGACAGTGTATCTCTTTTTTAATTACCCCATCAAAAAAACAATAAAAGTACATAAAATAAAATTTGTAAGCTGAAACGCTAAAAAAAAATTAACATGTGCCCCCCACCAGGCCACATAACGCTTTTGTGAATTTCCTTCCTGACTCGCGCTACAGTACCTGGCATCACTGCACCTGCGTGCCTCCGAGGAGCCCGGGACGGACGCCTTGGACCACCCAAGCAGCAGCCCCATCTGCCCACAGCCCCTCACCGGGGGGGAGGGGGACACTTTATTAGACACGAGCTGTGAAACCCATCAAGCTGCAGTTCCTGGATTTTATACAATGGATACTTTCACCTGCTGGACACCACGTTTAGTCCAAAGGGAAAACCTTAAGTCGTCACCTAGTCCATTTTAAAATGACCACACCACCTAGGCTTCAAAAGACAAGAGCCTAGTAGAATCCTGCAACGGAACAAGGGATGCCTTAGTCAGCGGTCTCCAGCCTTTGTGGCACCAGGGACCGCTGCTCCCATGAGCATCGAATGCCTGACGATCTGAGGGGGAGCTGGGGAGCAGCTCCAAACAGAGAGGAAGCTTCGCTCACTCACCTCCTGCAGTGCGGCCAGGTGCCTAACAGGCCACGGACCAGTACTGGTCCACAGCCCGGGGGCTGGGGACCCCGTCTTATATAACATGTGGCTAGAAAAAGAGTAAAACTTGGTGGAACTCCCGCTGCGGTTCGTACATTTCAGATAGGCAAATTAAGTTTTTGGCAGAACAATCTAGTGTAACAACTGTCCTCTGAAACAGAATGTATTTCACCCGTTTAAAGGAAAGCCACGCAAGACTCAAATGACACAGGGACCCTCGAACTTAAACACAGACTGGATGCCTCCTCCGTCGGCACAGTGAGATTGTGCGCACGTCTGTACCCTACTTCTCTGTCCATCTCCGCGTCTCATAAATTTAATGAAATGACTGTGTGGTACTCTCGCCGACAGATTTTGAAAAGTTACACAACCAAGAGTGAGAAATGTGCTAACGCTGCTGCGGACTCACTCGCACGCACATCCAACGCACGCTGGCACTCGTGTGTGGGAGGCCACCCACCGCGGCGGCAGTGAGGAGGCCAGGTAAACAGACTGTCCTCACGGCACTTAGAATTCACGCGCATGCACAATGTAAATCTAGGCAGTGGCGGTAACATAACAAAAAAAAAGATAACAGGGTAAAGAGTGACGGGGGTGGGGGAGCCCTCGGATTCAGACAGGTGACTGGAGACTAACGGGAGTGAGGGAAGGGAGAAAAAAGAAAAACCCCAAAAAGGGAAGCCCGACCCCGACAGAGAGAAAAGCAAGTGAAAAGGCCCCGCGGCAGAAACGGAGGTATGAGCACGGGGAGGTGAGGTAAGGCGGGGGGCGGCATGCGGGAGGCCACGGTAGCGCCACCAGCTGTGCAGCTCCTGGATGCGAGCTTCGCAGACGGCCCTTCCTGACATCTATCGGCATTTAAGCAGCAAAAAGGAGGGTCCTGGACACAAAGACCAGGAAAGTACAGCACACACGGCATACACACACCTCTAATGGGGGCGAGGCACTTTCACAGGGTATTTATTGTGTTAGAGTCACGCTGTCCCCAACCTCAGCAATCCAAACCCTCACCTTCATAATCCCTGCCGTAACATCCCTCACCTGCGCTAGTATTTAAATGTTTTCTTTCAGCTGTCTTTTATTTTACTTTATTTTCTTCCTAAGCATTCATAAGCTGTGAAGTGTGGGTCTGACGTGCAGATTATATACTTTTTCCTAACACTCACTGGGAAACTCTAACTTCTGAAAAAGGCACACACCACCTGGAACCATGTCATGGAACAGCACAGGTCCACAGGTCAAACCCTGGACACACTGGCCGAATGCACCAAATAGTTAACACAAGCCATGGCCAGCCACCACTCCTGCCTCCAGGGCAAACTCCAGTGTACATCGAAGAAGAGTTCATAAAACCCCCGAAGGTGCTGCATTCAAAACGTGAGAAAAAGAAACCAACGTGAGAATCAATCCATGAAATGTCTAGCTCAAATTTATTGCTTTTATTTGAAACATTTTAAAAAAAGAAAAAAGATGCTACAATCTATAAGGAAGAATAAAAATCACGTGCACCTCCAATCCTGCATTGTCACAAGCACGAGGTGCCCTCTGAGCAGCAGACACCGCGTCGTCAGCCACTCCCGTGAGACACGCGGGACACGCCCAGGGCAGGCCTGGCACAGCGGACCCTGCCTGCGCGCAGGGAGGTTCTCCTGCTGCGGACCGCACAGAGCCTCCGTTTCTCACCTCGCAGATGGGACGCTGCCTCTCCTCCTCGGGTGACAGGGTGACAAAATGCTTAGCATCACCCCTGGCACAGCAAGTACTCAAACGGCTGTGTCCCTGCCAATCCCAGCACCGAGAGACGACAGAACCGTGTCGCTTCGTTCTTATTACACAGGCAGCAAGCCTCAGCGGAACCAGAACACGGGCCTACGCGGGGCCCACTATGCTGGGCCGTCTGCTGGGGGCCGGCCAAGCGTCTCCAGACCCTGAAAGGAGAGCCCACCGGGCAGAGGGGAGGGAGGGAGGGACGTGACACGGGGACAAGGTGTACCTATCCACGAGCTCCTTCACCCCCTCCTTGTCGGGCACCAGCGACTGGTCCTGGTCGTCGGCCAGCGGGGTGCCCGCCTGGCGGTAGATGCAGCGGACCATGTAGCGCACTTCCGACCAGTAGTTCTGCAGCTGCTGCGGCTCGCGCTCCGCGTCGGCAGGCATCTCTCTGCGGGGCGGCACGAGGGCCGGAGGTCAGGGTGGCCACACAGTCCACGCCACCCGCACAGCACCCAGGGAGCCCGCAGCTGCCCAATCCCCAAGGACCCTGTCTCCAGAGGCTCCAGGCCCTCCTCGCAGGCGGGAATCGGCCAGGCCAGAGGCCTGGATCCCAGACCTTGGCCGTCTGGCTGCCCAGGGGCAGCTCACAGCCCACCCCCACCGTCCCGTTCGTCCTTGGGGCAGGAAGGGGGGCCGGCGCTGGCCCCCTCTCAGGCGAGCAGGCGGCTATGAAAGCGCCGCCCCCTGCTCCAGCTCCGCCCCACGCCCCCACGCCCACCCGC